TTAGGTGTATTGCTGAAGTTGATCCCCAAGCACAAATAGCATAGGTGAGGTATGGATAAATGAGTGAATGGTATAGTGCGAGAAGGGCATTTTGCGGCACGTAGTATCGTATCTTCGAGAGGATCCCAACTGTTTTGGATACTTTTTTTGATGTGTGTTGGATATGGGTGCTGAAATTCAGGTTGTTGTCGAGGTATAGGCCTAGAAATTTGCCCTCATTATGTCTGGCAATTAGAGTGCTGTCAATCTTAATGTTAAGTTGTGCAGCACCTGCTCTGCTACCAAACATAATACAGTAGCTTTTGTCAGTGTTAAGTGTAAGTTTATTGGCTGTCATCCAAGTTGATATTTTGAGCAGCTCCTCATTAACAATGGTGTTGAGGATGGCAAGATTAGGGTCAGAGATGACATAAATCGTGTCGTCAGCAAAGAGAATGGGATTCAGGTGTTGGGATATGTTTGGAAGATCATTGATGTAAATGAGGAAGAGCAGGGGTCCAAGGACACTTCCCTGTGGAACTCCAGTATCAAGTGGCCGTGTTGATGATGCTGTGTCTTTAATGGTGACATACTGATACCTATTAGTAAGGTAGGATTTGAAATATGCAAGCACATGGCTTCTTATACCATAATGGTCAAGTTTGTGGAGTAGGATGCCGTGGTCTACTGTGTCAAAAGCTTTTCTTAGGTCAATAAAAATTCCTAGCGGATATTCCTTGTTTTCCAATGCTGTGTAAAGCAGATCTAGCATTTTATGATTGCATCATTAGTGCTTTTATTTTTCCTGAATCCAAATTGGCAGGGGTTGAGTATGTTTTGTGCCATTATAAATGAATACAGTCTCCTTTGCACGAGTTTCTCGAAGGTTTTGGATAGCAATGGTAAGTTTGATATTGGCCTATAGTTGTTTACATCTGTAGGGTCACCACCTTTATGTATTGGTGTAACCCTTGCTGTCTAGAGTAGTTTTGGGAAGGTGCTAGTTTCTAGTGACTTGTTAAAAAGTAATGAAATAGCATACGAGAGGACATGGGCCGCTCGCTTGTACAATAATGGTGGGACATGAGACAGGTTCCCTGAGTTATTTTTAAGTGACTTTATAATCTCAGTGACCAGTTCACGAACTTTTACCCGGATACATGCACTATTCCTAGCTCCAATGAACCCAACAGAAGTCTCGCTCATCATCAATACCCTTAAAAGCAAGGCAGGAGACATAGGCAACTTGCCAACTTTTATGTACAAAAAAGCTCCTCAAGTACAGTGCAACCTCTACTTATGAGTTTAATATGTTCCATGACCTTGCTCGCAACTGGATTTGCTCGTTTGCAGAGTCAATTTTCCTCATTTAAATTAATTGAAATGGAATTAATTCGTTCCAGTAGAATTCCAGGCACGAGAAAATACTTTAATAATTTCCCTAATATCAACTCTACAGCTTATTTATCTATCACAATTCATGTAATATGACGTAATAAACAATATTAATAACATAGAAACATGATATATACACTAGAATGAATAAAATACATGTCATTAGGTATGTGACTAGTGATGGTGACAACAGCCATTGTTTTTGGGGTTTATAGGGCCACCACAGTGGCCATTCCTGCTCCTGACTACATGTGTAGAGAACCTAGGATAACCCAAAAAAGTCAGACAGAGTGACTTATAAGTGCTACACACTTAATGCTTCATTTTATTGCTACACTCTTAACTCTTAATGCTACACTTAATTGCTACACTCTTAATACTGCACTTTGCTACTGCTGCTTCATGTTGTCTGCCACTGCTACCTGATGATGTCTGCCACTGCTGGTTCATGTTGTCTGCCACTGCTACCTCATGATGTCTGCCACTGCTCCTTCATGTTGTCTGCCACTGCTGCCTCATGATGTCTGCCTCTGTTGCTTCATGTTGTCTGCCACTGCTACCTCATGATGTCTGCCACTGCTACCTCATGATGTCTGCCACTGCTCCTTCATGTTGTCTTCCACTGCTACCTCATGATGTCTGCCACTGCTACCTCATGATGTCTGCCACTGTTGCTTCATGTTGTCTGCCACTGCTGCTTCATGTTGTCTGCCACTGCTACCTCATGATGTCTGCCACTGCTACCTCATGATGTCTGCCACTGCTACCTCATGATGTCTGCCACTGCTACCTCATGTCTGCCACTGTTGCTTCATGTTGTCTGCCACTGCTGCTTCATGTTGTCTGCCACTGCTACCTCATGATGTCTGCCACTGCTCCTTCATGTTGTCTGCCACTGCTACCTCATGATGTCTGCCACTGCTCCTTCATGTTGTCTGCCACTGCTACCTCATGATGTCTGCCACTGTTGCTTCATGTTGTCTGCCACTGCTGCCTCATGTCTACCACTGATGTCGCCAAAAAATCAAATATTTCTCCTATTTTGAGTTCAATTTCAAGGTACTTTTCATCGCAAAACCAATTAAAATCATATTTATTTTTGTAGTATACCTTCCATTCTATCACATGAGACCAAATAAAACGAGAATGCAACCATAAAAACCATACGAAAATATACCACTAAGGGGAGGCTAATGGCTGAGAAGTGAACTCCGTTATTTATGGTCCGATTTCTTTCATTTTTGGTGTACGTTAAGAAGCATCTTTTCATCATACATTGCCCAAGTTTCAATAAGATAGTCCAACAAACAACTGAGATCCAGTTTCCTAGATCAAGAGCAAGAGCCCCCTAACCAGTGGCAAGTAACCTCCCTTGAGGCCCACTCATATCTGGAAATTTTGCTCGCGTCTGGAAGCAAAAAATCGACCAAGCAGCTGTTCATATCTGAAAAAACTCGCACATGGATGCACTCGTAAGTAGAGGTTCCACTCTATTGTCACCAATTATTGCAACATTCTTTAACAAATCCATTGAATCATCTACCTTCCCAACAATCCTCAAAATAGCGAGGGTCACTCCGATCCACAAAGGAGGTGACCCAGCTGACTTGAATAACTATAGACCAATATCTAACTTACCACTGCTCTCTGAAATCTTTGAAAAATTAATTCATAGACAGATCTGTTCCAACCTCGTCTCGCACAACATACTAAACCCCTGTCAGTTTGGATTCAGGAATAATAGCACAAATGACGCTATCATACACATGCTAGAGCTAATATATACTGCTCTTGAAAAGAAAGAAAAGTCCTGCTGGGAATTTTCATTGATTTACATAAAGCTTTTGATACAGTACACTAAATAAACACTGTACACTAAATAAACACACTGTGGTATAAGAGGCCACTCCTTCAACTACCTAAAGTCATACCTTAGTAACAGAAGCCAATATGTGTACACAAATGGTGCAAACTCTTCCACTCAACCAATCACAGTAGGAGTGCCACAAGGAAGTGTCCGTGGATCACTCCTCTTTCTCATCTACATCAGTGACCTACCGAATGCATCACAGCTACTCAAACCCATATTATTTGAACATGACACTACATACGTCTTCTCACACCCAAACCCAGTCATACTCGCCAACACTGTCGATGCCAAATTGCAGAAAATATCTACCTGGATGATGACTAATAAACTTACCCTGAATACAGTGGACCCCCGCATAACGATCACCTCCGAATGCGACCAATTATGTAAGTGTACATGTATTTATGTAAGTGCGTTTGCACGTGTATGTTTGGGGGTCTGAAATGGACTAATCTACTTCACAATATTCCTTATGGGAACAAATTCGGTCAGTACTGGCACCTGAACATACTTCTGGAGTGAAAAAATATCGTTAACCGGGGGTCCACTGTACTGATAAAACCTATTTCATTCAGTTTGGAAACAAAGCTGCAAATGTTCCACTTAACATAACACTAAACGGATCACCCGTCACAAGACTCACAGAGGGAAAATTCCTAGGAATCCACCTTGACAGTAGCCTCAAGTTCCAAACACATATACAACAAATCACCAAGAAAATCTCTAAGACTGTAGGCATACTATCAAAGATAAAGTACTATGTTCCACAACCAGTTCTCCTGGCACTGTCCCATTCACTCATCTACCCTTATCTCACATATGGAATTTGTGCATGGGGATCTACAACTTTAAATCACCTAAGACCACTAATAACCCAGCAAATGGCAGCAGTCAGAATGGTAACAAATTCCCACTCCCAACAGCATACTCCACCAATTTTCATAAGTCCAAATCTTTTGGTTTATATAAATTAGATTTATTTATTTACTTATTTATTTTATTTATTTTATTTATTTATTTTATTTTATAATTTGAACATACAGAGGTACAAAAAAATACAGGTAAGAGCAGCATGCCAAAGCCACTTGTATGCATAGCATTACGGGCAGGCTTAAAATTAACTTAAGATTAACTAAGCAATGATGTAATAAGTGATAGAACATTATTGTAAACAGATAACAATAAAGCACAAATGAGTATTACAAAGACAGGTCATATGGTTGCATTTACTGGAGCTACTGTACAACTATGATATATTTCTTTAGTGTTAAGTAGTCAGTAAGCCAATAAATTAAGTCGGCCCATAATGCCAAGGCATAATAGAGGCTCTCTCTGCATTGCAACCCATTATTGTAAATACATAATCTCAATGTACTACTTGCAAAGAAAAAAATAAATTTGAATTTGAATATAATGGTTCTTTCTCCTAGCCTAGATACTTTCATTACACATTTCAGTAATATGAATATTTTTCAATAGTGCATTAAGGTGTTGCTCTGTAGTTAATACATAAAGAGAAATTTCTTTGTTAACAAAGATATAACAATATGCATTAAACTTGAAAAATGCTAGATTTTTCACAGGTAGCTTAAATTTCTTAAGGTTCAGTGAATGTAATGCATTATGTAATTTTTTTTTTTTACCTCAGTGGTCATCCCCAGCCAAGGAAGGGTGGGTCAAAGAAGGAAAACTCATTCACCATCATTGATTCAATCACTGAAAATTTATTTTTTTAATTGTATTTGTTTGTCTACAGCCCCACACACTGTTGAGGAAAAAACTGGCAGCAAGTCTCCTCCAGGTTTTCCAGGCTTAGAGACCATGTTGCCTCTTCTGCTAACAGCTGTCACCCAGGGAAGGCTGTCAATGGAGGTAGGTAATGTACATTTCTTACTTGATAATGGTCCTGAATGGCCTAAATGTTATTGTAAGTTTCTTCTCCAAAGTATTAGTTGTTTCTTAATGTCTTACTTTTGAGTGCAGTGATCAGGACTCGAGTAAGTATCCTTTCCAAGATATGATACTGTGTACACCAAACAACACTCCTTACCCTATACCACTGTTTAATATATCCTTACCTCACCTATGGTATTTGTGCCTGAGGATCAACCACAGCCAACCAACTTAAACCTTCAATAGCCCAACAAAAACTGTGCGGATGATTACCAGCTCCTGTGCTAGACAGCACACCCTCCCACTTTACAAAAGCCTAAATCTACTAAATATACGAGACATACACTCATTATTGTGCATACTATATATACAGAACATTAAACTCCAATATAAACCCTGTGCTTAAACTTCTTGATAGCTACAACAGAACAGTCACAATACAATCACAAGGCACTCTTTGACATCCCTCATGACAGTCTCACACTATGCAAAAATGTGGTGCACATACAGGGCCCGAAGATCTGGAATTCACTGCTTGAACCAGTAAAGGATCCCCTTACAACAGACAAACTTATGGCTATGCTTAAAAATCATCTCATCTCTTAATACTAACTAAAACTAGCAAAACAACTTCTAACTAGTTTGAAGCAGCTCCTAAATATTATATTATATAACCTCAAGTCTATTAAAACATCTGCCAATCCATGAAATATTACTATTTGAACCATTAATTGTAATATTGTTTTTATTATGTGCAACTTAAAGATTATTGTTCTTATAAACCTCCACCTTGACTACCGCACATTAGTATTAAGATAAAATAAAGATTTTTTAAAAAGTTAACCATTCTTATCTTGTCTAGATTTAACCCCTTAACTGTCCAAATGTAGATCTACGTTCTTACCGCTAGAGCTCCAAACGTAGATCAACATTTTATTTTTCCTGCCTCCAAATTTGAGACGTTTGGCCTGAGATGCCTGGTCAGTATAGAATGGGTCTTAACACTTGGTGTGCACAGCATTAAAAAATCTGGGACCACTGGCGCTCAATTGAACTGGTGATCCCACAAGGTACTAACCTTGTGGGATCACCAGTTCAATTGAGTGTCAGTAAATTATGTAGAACAGGACGATAATAAACTGTGCACGATTAGGGTCACAAGTGACATGGTCCTTAGGCAAATAGATAAATTAAAATCTAACAAATCCCCAGGCCCTGATGAACTGTATGCAAGGGTTCTAAAGGAATGTAAAGAGGAGCTTAGCACACCTTTGGCTAATCTTTTCAACATATCACTACAAACTGGCATGGTGCCAGATAAGTGGAAAATGGCAAATGTGATACCTATTTTCAAAACAGGTGACAGGTCCTTAGCTTCGAACTATAGACCAATAAGCCTAACCTCCATAGTGGGAAAATTTATGGAATCAATAATTGCCGAGGCAGTTCGTAGCCACCTTGAAAAGCATAAATTAATCAACGAATCTCAGCATGGTTTTACAAAGGGGCGTTCCTGCCTTACGAATTTATTAACTTTTTTCACTAAGGTATTTGAGGAGGTCGATCATGGTAATGAATATGATATTGTGTATATGGACTTCAGTAAGGCTTTTGACAGGGTCCCACATCAGAGACTATTGAGGAAAATTAAAGCACATGGAATAGGAGGAGAAATTTTTTCCTGGATAGAGGCATGGTTGACAAATAGGCAGCAGAGAGTTTGCATAAATGGGGAGAAATCAGAGTGGGGAAGCGTCACGAGCGGTGTTCCACAGGGGTCAGTGTTGGGCCCCCTGCTGTTCACAATCTACATAAACGACATAGATGAGGGCATAAAGAGCGACATCGGCAAGTTCGCCGATGACACCAAAATAGGCCGTTGAATTCATTCTGACGAGGACATTCGAGCACTCCAGGAAGATTTGAATAGACTGATGCAGTGGTCGGAGAAGTGGCAGATGCAGTTTAATATAGACAAATGCAAAGTTCTAAATGTTGGACAGGACAATAACCATGCCACATATAAACTAAATAATGTAGATCTTAACCCTTTCAGGGTCCGTCCCATAGATCTACGGCTTTACGGTGAGTGTCCAAACCATAGATCTACGCCATGAGCTCAGCTCACTCTGATAAACTGTGAGTGGTACATTTGGGCCTAGATATGAGAGAATACATCTATGTGGTATGTGTGCACCACATAAAACAGATCCTGCAGCACACTGTGTATAATGAGAGAAAAAAACTGAAATCATGATTTTTCAATTAAAACAGCGACTTTGCAGTGTTTTTTCGTATGTTTTTTATAGTTGTATTTGCGATTTCTTGGTCTCATTTGATAGAATGGAAGACATATTACAGAAATAGAGATGATTTTGATTGGTTTTAGCACTGGAAATGGCTTGAAACTGAGCTCAAAGTAGCGGAAATGTTAAATTTTTGCCGATATTCAAGAGTAAACAAACGACCTCGCACATCTAATACACGTCAGCTGGTGGGTCTAATATACATTCACAAATATAGTGATGATACTTATACAATTATTACAGTATTGCATAACAGTAAATCTTCTATTTTTTGGTGTGAATAAAAATTCATTATGTGAATAAAAAATCAAAATGGAATTTATTTGTAAAGCCTCAAAATGTAACTAATGAACAGAGGAAATGTTAGTTTAGTTCCAGGAATACCTACATTGTTTATTCTGGAGCCTATTTTGAAATTGGAATATTTGAACTTTGTGTTAAATTGGCCAAATTAACAATTTCCGATCACTTTATTTTGTAGTTGAAACAGTTGATTTGGCGATTTCTTGTGCTCAATCGATAGAATAGAAGTAATACTAGTGAAATAGCTAAGAATTTGGTTGATTGGAATAATGTAATTGGCCTAAAATGGGAGTCAAAGTCGGCAAAATCGCCGACTCGTAAATATCGCTGACACATCAAAATTCACGAGAGCATAATTTCGTCAATTTTCCACCAAATTTCGTACTTTTTGTTTTATTACCTTCACAAAAAGATTCTCTACGATTTCATAAGAAAAAATAACAAATTTTTTTTTTGAAAATTCTTGGACACTGGTGCGTGACTTCAGATTTTGGCCTTGGACCCTGAAAGGGTTAATATTACGGATTGCGAAAAAGATTTAGGAGTTCTGGTTAGCAGTAATCTGAAACCAAGACAACAGTGCATAAGTGTTCGCAATAAAGCTAATAGAATCCTTGGCTTCATATCAAGAAGCATAAATAATAGGAATCCTCAGGTTGTTCTTCAACTCTATACATCCTTGGTTAGGCCTCATTTAGATTATGCTGCACAGTTTTGGTCACCGTATTACAGAATGGATATAAATTCTCTGGAAAATGTACAAAGGAGGATGACAAAGTTGATCCCATGTATCAGAAACCTTCCCTATGAGGATAGACTAAGGGCCCTGAAACTGCACTCTCTAGAAAGACGTAGAATTAGGGGGGATATGATTGAGGTGTATAAATGGAAGACAGGAATAAATAAAGGGGATGTAAATAGTGTGCTGAAAATATCTAGCCTAGACAGGACTCGCAGCAATGGTTTTAAGTTGGAAAAATTCAGATTCAGGAAGGATATAGGAAAGTACTGGTTTGGTAATAGAGTTGTGGATGAGTGGAACAAACTCCCAAGTACCGTTATAGAGGCCAGAACGTTAAGATAAGATAAGAGATAAGATTTCGTTCGGATTTTTAACCCCGGAGGGTTAGCCACCCAGGATAACCCAAGAAAGTCAGTGCGTCATCGAGGACTGTCTAACTTATTTCCATTGGGGTCCTTAATCTTGTCCCCCAGGATGCGACCCACACCAGTCGACTAACACCCAGGTACCTATTTGCTGCTAGGTGAACAGGACAATAGGTGTAAGGAAACGTGTCGGAATTTCCACCCGCCGGGACTCGAACCCGGGCCCTCCGTGTGTGAAGCGGGAGCTTTAGCCACCAGACCACCGGGCCACCAACGTTGTGTAGCTTTAAAAATAGGTTGGATAAATACATGAGTAGATGTGGGTGGGTGTGAGTTAGACCTGATAGCTTGTGCTACCAGGTCGGTTGCCGTGTTCCTCCCTTAAGTCAATGTGACCTGACCTGACTAGGTTGGGTGCATTGGCTTAAGCCGGTAGGAGACTTGGACCTGCCTCGCATGGGCCAGTAGGCCTTCTGCAGTGTTCCTTTGTTCTTATGTTCTTATGTTAGAGCAAACAATGTGGCAAACACCAAAGATTCACTGATGTCATGTTGTATTAACACTCCCCTTTTAACCCTTTCAGGGTCGGCAGGCCCTCTCCTAAACTTGTTCTCAGGGTCGGAAATTTTTCTAAAAAAAAAAAAAAAAATTTTTTTCTTATGAAATGAAAGAGAATCTTTTTCCAATCATAATAACACCAAAAGTATGAAATTTGATGGAACATTTATGGAATTATGCTCTTGCGAAGTTAGCAGTCTCGACAATGTTTATGCATCGGTGATTTTGCCGAATTTGAGCCCTATTTTCGGCCAATTCCAATGTACCAGTCTACAAAAATCATAACTATTTCGCTAGAACTCCATTTTTTCTATCGAATGAGTACAAGAAACCACACATTTACCGATTTCAACTATCCAATAAAGTGGTCCAAAATTGGCAATTTTGCCAATTTCACACAAATTTCAGAAGATGCCAATTTCCAAATAGGGTCCAGAATAAACAAGACAGACATTTCTGGCAGTAAAATAACATTCCCTCTGTTCATTAGTGACATCCCCAGGCCTCTGTTACATTTCTTTTGTTTTCCACTTTGAATTTTTATTCTCACAAAAAATAGAAGATTTACTGTATGAAGACTACTGCATTAGTGTAGAAATGGTATAAATAATATCAGTGCACTTGTGAAAGAATATTAGACTTACTAGTTGACGTGTATTGGACGTATGGGTTGATTTATTTACTTTTGAACTTTGGCAAAAATCGAATATTTCTGTTACTTAGAGCTCAATTTCAAGGTACTTTTCATTGTGAAACTAATCAAAATCATCTCAATTTCTGTAATATGTCTTCCATTCTATAAAATGAGACCAGGAAAACTAGAATACAATCATAAATAGCATACGAAAATACACTGCAAAGTCTGTTTTAAAACAAAAACATGGAGTTGTTTTTTTTTTTTCATTATGCACGGGGTGCGACAGGATTTTTTTTATACTGCACACACTGACCACATAGACGCATTCTTTCATTTGTAGGCCTACCAGTTTTCTCTCGCTAGATTTTAATGCACTAGAATTTATGAGTACTAGTACAGCACCAACCCTGGAATGCAGGCCGTACTAGTACGGCACCAACCTTGAAAGGGTTAAGAGGAAAGTGATGTTGACCCAAGTATAGTGGCCTTGAGATGGATATGGCCACAAGTGGTTGAGGAAATATCAAAAACCTTGATAATAACCATGTGCAACATTTGTGCAACATTCTTTCACTTTTGATACCATTGGTATGGTCATCATGCCAGAATGTCCTATAACCTATGCCCTAAGTAAAGAGAACCAATTCTGGAACATGTCTAATATGTGTTTGGCAGGCTGGCTGGCTGAGTGGCTGGCTGGCCGGGTAGCTGGCTAGCTGGGTGGCTGGCTGGCCGAGTGGCTGATTGAGTTTGGCTGTCTCTATCTCCATCTGTCTTTCTGTATCTATGCATGTCTCTGTCTCTGTCTATCTTTGTCTCGCAGGTACACATAAATAGTTATTATACATAGTGTAAATTACCTAGGATAACTCAAAAAATCCAGACAAAGTGCTGTACTGTGCTTGTAGATATAAGACATAATAAGCATGACTGGCAAGTAATATGCATTTTCACTTGTTCAGGAATCAGACATAACTCTGCATCTCGTGTAATACCTGTTAGTTCATGAGTGGCTGTCTGAGACAGAAAGACACACAGGCAGCCAGACACACAGACAGAAATACAAGCAGAGAGATACAGGCAGACAGACACACAGGCCAGGAGCTGAGTTTCGACCCCTGCAACCACAATTAGGTGAGTACAGACGCACAGGCAGACAGACGCACAGGCAGACAGACGCACAGGCAGACAGACGCACAGGCAGACAGACGCACAGGCAGACAGACGCACAGGCAGACAGACGCACAGGCAGACAGACGCACAGGCAGACAGACGCACAGGCAGACAGACGCACAGGCAGACAGACGCACAGGCAGACAGACGCACTGGCAGACAGACGCACTGGCAGACAGACGCACTGGCAGACAGACGCACTGGCAGACAGACGCACTGGCAGACAGACGCACTGGCAGACAGACGCACTGGCAGACAGACGCACTGGCAGACAGACGCACTGGCAGACAGACGCACTGGCAGACAGACGCACTGGCAGACAGACGCACTGGCAGACAGACGCACTGGCAGACAGACGCACTGGCAGACAGACGCACTGGCAGACAGACGCACTGGCAGACAGACGCACTGGCAGACAGACGCACTGGCAGACAGACGCACTGGCAGACAGACGCACTGGCAGACAGACGCACTGGCAGACAGACGCACTGGCAGACAGACGCACTGGCAGACAGACGCACTGGCAGACAGACGCACTGGCAGACAGACGCACTGGCAGACAGACGCACTGGCAGGCAGACGCACTGGCAGACAGACGCACTGGCAGGCAGACGCACTGGCAGACAGACACACTAGCAGGCAGACGCACTGGCAGACAGACGCACAGGCAGACAGATAAGCAGAGACAAAGAGAGAGAGCTAGACTGATAGACATACACAGACAAATAGACAGATACAGTCAGACATAGTCAAACAGATAAACAGATATGTTATATGTAACAGTGAAAACAAACAAAACCAAGGCAGTGCACAATCATCAAGTAAAATCAAATAAAAAATAAAATATATATTTCTTTGCTAAGGTTACAGTGTATGTTTACATATCATAAAATGATTGGAGCAAAGAAAGCCACTATCATGCCGAGTCATTTTGGGCAGACTTAACCTAATACTTATAGACTACTTAAGTCTAGACAGGTGAAGAATGGTAGAATACAAATAGTCAATATTCACTCTATTGTTAACCCTTTGAGGGTCCATTCCATAGTTCTATGGCTTTGAAGCCAGGGTCCAAGCCATAGAACTACACCATAATTCTAGTGGTTTTAAATTTAGTGTGAGAAGGCTGGTAAGCCTACTGTGTGGTCAGTGTGTGCAGTAAACAGAAATCGGGACACCCACATTGCATTGTGGAAATTCCATCTCAGTATGCTTTGTTCATCATGCCTCGCGGCAAGGAAGCTCGCAGTCTCCGGCGAATTGGGACTCTTCTTTTCCCAAGTGATAGCTCTAGCACTGATGAAAGTAGATCTCAAGAAGAATTCTATGGTTTTGAACAATTTGTGACCTAAAGCAATGCTCAAGATATCGAAAGTAGTGCCGAAAATTCTGACGACCCTCAACCTTCCACCTCTGGTGATACTGCATCTTAGTCACATTCAGTTGTACCTTGTCGCAAGAGAAAAAAAAAAAAACTAATATTTTTGCGTGGCCAGGCATCAAATTTGAGTAATGGTGATGATAGTGATGTGGACTTTGATTTTATTGCTTTTGACGACCATTCAAGTAGTGATAGTGAGGAATCACATTCACCAGTGAAGCATCAGTTGATACGACACCACATGTGCTTGGTTAGTGTACCATATGCAATTCCAAGGGGACAGAGTACATCCCGTAGTACATCCCATGGCCCTACACCTGGAATAGACAATGAAAATGACGATGATGTGGCTACAATTGGGATGGATAAGATAAGATAAGATAAGATTTCGTTCGGATTTTTAACCCCGGAGGGTTAGCCACCCAGGATAACCCAAGAAAGTCAGTGCGTCATCGAGGACTGTCTAACTTATTTCCATTGGGGTCCTTAATCTTGTCCCCCAGGATGCGACCCACACCAGTCGACTAACACCCAGGTACCTATTTGCTGCTAGGTGAACAGGACAACAGGTGTAAGGAAACGTGTCAAATGTTTCCACCCGCCGGGAATCGAACCCGGGCCCTCCGTGTGTGAAGCGGGAGCTTCAGTAGGTGGTGGTGGTGCCACGAGCAAGCGGCATCAGCTCAGGCTGGAACCCAAGCCGCTGACTCAGCAGGTCCAGGACAAAGCGCATCGTCATCCAGCCCCACACCACAGTCTGCACAACCACAACCAGCTTATAATGTTCAATACCCACCAGCAAACCGCATCTGAGATTGGCAGCAAAATCACAATTTTGTTCCTAATCCCCATCAGTTTGATGACACTCAACGTGGATTCCTGCCACCTTGTTCCCTTGGAAACACTGCAAGTGAATTGCAATTCTTTGAACTATTCTTTGACCAGCCCTTGATGGAAAATATTGTCAGGGAAAGTAGCAAGTATTTTGATTACACCATGGCAAATACAATGATTTCACTTCAGTCAGGACTACACCGGTGGAAGGAGACAGCTGTGGCTGAAATGTATTTGTTTTTTGCAACAATAATGCTTATGCCTCATGTCTGTAAGCATAATATAAAATCATACTGGTCAACAGTTGTCCTAATTTCTACCACAGCCTTCGGTGATATCGCAGTGAACAGATTTATCTTACTGTTACATATGTTGCACTACTCTGACAAAACCAGGCCTGATGGAAATTACAGGCTATACAAGATTAGGAATGTTTTTATGTATCTGAAACAAAAGTTCAGCATGTACTTTTATCCATTCAAGAATCTTGTAATTGACAAGTCTTTGATTTGGTTCAAAGGTAGACTGTCATTCAAGCAGTATATACTAAGCAATAGGAAACACTTTCGTATAAAACTGTTTGTAATCTGTGACTGTGACAGTGGCCTGGTGTGGACGTAATTATATACTCAGGAAGTAAAATGCTGGAAGATGATGCTTATCTACATTAAATGTCATTTTTCATCTATTACTCTACTCAGTTTATACCATCTTGCAGGGATTTGTGGTAATTTTTAGCACTGTACTTATTTTTTATAGGATCTTTGCATCAGCCACAAACATATTCCCATAATGTACTGCAGTTTCTTATTCCTTCTTCCAAAACATGTGTATAAAATAGAAACAGTATTGGGCAAGCACTACTCCTTGCTGTACTAAGGAGTTTATATTCTGATCATTGAGGTTCACCATAATAACTCTTCTCAATGCTGGTCTTCTCCCAGTGAGGCAGGGTGATCCAAAAATAAGAAGATAAACTTTCACCATCATTCACTCAATCACTGTTTTCCTAGAAGCATGCTAACATCACAGTTTAGATGACCCTCCTTTGGAGTGTAGGCACTATACTTTCCTTCTCCAGGATTCGAGCCCCTGAATCTCTTCATAAATGCTGTTTTGCTCACACTCCAACAGCATGTTATATTAAATGGCTTTACAGAGCTTGGAACTTTATTCTAAAAAATAAACATATCTTTATTATAGGATCTAATCAATAAGTTGCACCACAATCCACGCCGAATTTTCCACCTGCCACGTCAGCCACGGACATATATTGAGGTTGACTTAGATGCTCAATGGACCATCCCAGAAGCACCTCCCTTCAGCAAGGCTCGGTGGACACCCTTTGCTGGCATGAAAGTTACTGGCCGTGTCCAGAGGGTTGTACTTCGAGGAGAAGTGGCATATGTAGATGGACAGGTAGGCTTTGCTACAATACAGTAGGTTTATTTATTACAAACAGTACATCGACCACTTCCCATGATGGGAACCGGTCACCATCATAAAAAATTTACAGTTTAAGTTTCAAATTTTTTATGCACAAGTTTTTAGGAAACAAAAACAGATGATAGATACAGTACATATATGGTAATTTACTTTTTCTCAACTTATAATTGTAAAGAATTATGATTTATTGTTTGTAGTATGTATAGTAAAAATAAAATACCTATAGTTATAAATAACTTTTCAGGTATTATTGCCTCCTGGCTATGGTGAGGACGTTCGGGAGTCTCAGCCACTCTCTCCCGCTGCTGCATCCACCTCCTCTGTGACAGGACCTCCAGTCTTCCCAGCACCACATTGTACACATCCTTCCAGTATTCCACTCTCACATTCTCAACATTCTGTTCCAAGTTGGTATAGTTTAGTTTACTTTCTTTACCACATCAGCCATTTTCCTTCGGGGTAACCCAAAAGAATGAAATACATTCTCCATTGTTCAGGCAATCTCTTATTAATTGTAATTGTTAAATTTATATTCTTCCTATGTTTTGAAGTTTATATGTTACAGTATTTTAGGGGAACTTTGCTAAAAAATATTTTTTTAATGCAGAAACATGCAGTACTTTTTTTTTTTTTTGACTCAAAGTGGCTTAACCCTTTCACTGTGCAGACCCCAGAAATTAACCACTTGAGGATCTGTGCCATTCTTCTCCGGGTTTGAAGCCTCCGTCCATACCGTTGTTCTACGGCATGAGCTCAGCTCATTCAGATAAGCTGTGAACAGTAAATTTGGGCCTAGATATGAGAGAATGTATCTATGTGGTGAGTGTGCAACATATAAAAATAATCTTGCAGCACACAGTGAATAATGAGAAAAAAACGGACCGTGTTTTTGGTATAAAACAGTGACTTTGCGGTGTATTTTCATATTGTTTTTATGGTTGTATTCACAGTTTCTTAGTCTTAGTCTCATTTCATAGAGTGGAAGATATATTACAGAAATAGAGATGATTTTGATTGGTTATAAGATTGAAAATAGCTTGAAATTGAGCTCAGAGTAGGGCAAATGTCCAATGCACATCAACTGGTGGGTCTAATGTGCATTCACAAAGGCACTGATACTATTTAATCAATTATTTCAAGATTGTATGACAGTAATCTATTTTTTATCTTTTTTTTTGTATGAATCAAAATGGAATTCATGTGTAATGCCTAGAAATGTAATTGGTAAAAAGAGGAAATGTTATTTTAGTGACAGGAATGCCTGCATTGTTTATTCTGGACCCTATTTTGAAAGTAGAATATTTTAAATTTGTGTGAAATTGGCCAAAATTAACTTCTGATCACTTAATTGGGTAGTTGAAATAGTTGATTGGGTGGTTTCTTCTGTTCAGTCACTATAATGAAAGGCATACTAGCAAAATAGCTAAGAATTTAGTTGACTTAAACAGTGTAATTGGCGTAAAATAAGACTCAAAGTGGGCAAAATCGCTGATGTGTAAATATCGCTGACACAGCAAAATTCACAGTAGTGTAATTTCTTCAGTTTTCCATCAAATTTCATACTTTTTGTTTTATTACCTTAAGAAAAAGATTCTCTACCATTTCATAAGATTTTTTTTTTTTCTAATTCTTGAACCCTGTGAATAAGTTTCAGATCGGGAGTCTGGACCATCAGAGGGCTAATATTGCTCTCAGCATCCACTTTTTTCAAAAAAGAAAAAATCTTTTTCTGGTAACAACTAAAAAATATAATTTTTGATGGAAAAGTTACAAAATTATGCAGGCGTAAAGTTCACATTCTTATTGCAATTTACGCTTCGATTTCTCCCACTTTGAGTCCTATTTTAAGCTAATTCCTTCACTTCATTTGACCAAATTCTTAGCTGTTTCACTAGCTGATCAGAATGCTTTGCATAACAAGGGGGCTTTCTATAAAGTACAGTAATACCTCGGTACTGGAACTTAATTTGTTCCAGAAGACTGTTCAAGTGCCGATCTGTTAGAGTATCAAACAAATTTTTCCGATAATGTAAGATTAATCAGTTTCAGACCCCCAGAAATACACTTACAAGAGTATTTTAACACAAAGTTTACAAGCCTAGCATACATAAATCTAAAACAGAAATAAACTAAACACCATGACTAGATTAAATAAATGCAAATTTATTCTGACTTTACCTGTAACTGGAAAGCTGATGGCGTATGTGGAAGATAGTGAGGAAGAAGGGAGGTGTTATTGTTTTTCACCTTCCATAAAAATGGCAGGTAAATGTGCTTCTGGCGTTCTTTCTCTTTTCTGTCTCTTTGTGCTTTCTTCCTGAGACTCCCTGGGTCTCTGTCTAACTAGAAACCTGTCTAATGAAATTTGCTTTTGCCTGCATTTAACCCTTTGACTGTTTGGTCGTATATATACGTCTTAGACGCCATTGTTTCTGACGTATTTATACGCGTAAATTCTAGCACCTTCAAATCAAGCGGGAGAAAGCTGGTAGGCCTACATGAGAGAGAATGGGTCTGAGTGGTGGGTGTGCACCCTGTGAAAAATATCTGGGACTCGATGGTGCATTGTGGGAATGCCATCTTGGTAGTCCATTTTCACCATGCTTCGCAGTAAGAAGTACCTCACTCCTTGGCAGATTGGAGGTCTTCTGTTCCCAAGTGATAGCTCTAACAGCAATGAAAGTGTCAGTGAAAGTGAATTCCATGGTTTTCAAGTGGGTGTGACCGAAAACAGTGCCCAGGATAACGTAATTAGTGATGAAAACCCAGATGACCCACGACCTTCCACCTCTGGTGCTGGGCTGGCTCGTTCACGTTCACCTGTACCAGGACGAAAGAGGAAACTATTTGCCCATGTACTAGACTCGGATGTGAGCAGTGAAAGTGATAGTGGTAGTGATTTCAAAGCTATTGAAAGCAGTTCTAGTTGTGACAGTGAGGGTGAATATTCCCCAGTGAAGCGGCAGTATATACAACGCAGCTTGCGGTCTGGTAGTGTGTCATATGCTGTTCCATGGGGAAGAAGTAAATCTCGGAGCACATCCTGTGGCCCTACACCACGACCTGATAGTGAAGATGATGATATTGTTACGATGAGTATGAATGATGTGAGTGAGGCAGCAGGTGGTGGTGATAGTGATGGTGGCATGAGTCATGTGGCACCAGCAGTGGGCCATGCTACTACCGACGCTGCTGACTGCACAACTACAACCAGCCTCACCCAACCCCACACTCCCACAACCTGCACAACCACAACCACAACCACGTTTTAATATCCAGAACCCACCAGCAGACCGCATCTGGGATTGGCAGGAAGGTGATGAGTTTGTTCCCAGTCCCCATGACTTTGATGAAACACAAAGTGGAATACGGCCATCGTGTACACTTGGGAACAATGCTACTGAACTGGAATGCTTTCACTTATTCTTTGATGAACCTCTGATGGACATTATTGTCAGAAAAACCAACACATACTATGAGTACATCACGGCAAATACAATTCTCTCACCAAGATCACGGCTACACCAGTGGAAGGACACAACTGTGGCAGAGATGTACCTGTTTTTTGCCACAATAATGCTTATGCCACATGTGTATAAGCACACTGTCATCACATACTGGGCAACAGAACGCCTGATTTCAACCCCAGGTTTTAGTGACATTATAGGTGTGAATCGTTTTTGATACTCTTTCGTATGTTACACTTTTCAGACAAAACAAGGCCTGACAGAAGCGACAGGTTATATAAGATCAGAAATGTGTTTATGTACCTGAAACAAAAGTGTTGCATGTATTTTATCCCTTCAGGAAGCTTGTTATTGATGAGTCTTTGATTTTATTCGAAGGAAGACTCTCATTCAAGCAGTACATACCAAGCAAGAGGAAACGCTTTGGTATAAAGTTATTTGTACTGTGTGATTGCAAAAGTGGTCTCATTTTGGATATCATTGTGTACACTGGCAGTAATACATTGAGAAATACCAGGAAGTTATTGGGTATCTCTGGTGATGTGGTTCGAACAGTGATGGAGCCATATCTTGGTAAGGGGCATATATTATATACTGATAACTGGTTGTTACAAAAAACGCAATTCTAAAAGCTTAGAGATCTCCAGTGAATACTAGAAAGGACTGCCCTTCTAGCAACCAGCCTTTAGGGGGTTTTTTCGTAACAAGTATCATATCCTTTGCCCAATTATCCAAAGAAATCATTTGTTTAGTAGTGCTTCGGGTTACAACTGGGGGGTACAAACTAAAAAATTTAAAATTTTAAAATAAATTTATTAAGCTAAGGTTTATTTTTAATTTAAATTAAATTAATCACGTAATCAAAATAATATCACTTTCTCTCAAGTACATATTATTGTGCTGAAAGACACATACATTTAAAATTTCTTAAGTACGTTGGTAATTAACATTTAAAAAGAATTCAAAAAATGTACAAAAAATTTTGTGTGTATGGGGTTAAGTGCCTAAGGTTCACTAGTCTACACTCGACTAGACTTAAACAAGTGACTGACAAAGCCCCATAAACAAACTTCCTTGACCAACGGCAATCAGAACACCCCGTTTGAACAAAAAAAAGAATGCAACCCCAATACAATATAACAGCAACTGCGACCAGAACGGAACAAGGGAGATAAATAACGCACTAAGTAGGGACCATTTCAGATCCCTCCACAAAAGTCACAAAACTCCCTACTACTGAATCTAATTTCAGCTAAAAAACCCCCGACTGTGATAATACACAGATACCAGTACAGTTAAGTGGAAGTTACAGCTCAGACCTAAATCTCAGAGGTCTAGAGAGAACAACCTCATACAACGCCCGAAAATCACTAATCTAACAAGTTCTGTGAACATTTTTTCTACAGAACTAACAAGAAAATGAACAAAATCTGTCCAACCACCAAGAGAGTCTAGATCAGACTGAAATTTTTCAACGAGGTAGGAACCCCCCCCCCTCGTCACGTGATAGCCCCGTGGGTTGCTGTCGCCCCCCAAAAGAACCCGAGGAAACAAGAAAGAGCGATAATTCAGTAGTTAACAATCAAGATTTTGAATGACACAAAATGTCCCACCCACCAAACAACATAATCTCAAATAACAATAAAAAAATACATTTACATTTAGCTATTTGAAAAGTAAGCAATAAAAAATTAAATGAAAAAAAAATAATTTATTTTAAAATAAAAACTTTGCAACCCATTCGGGGGTTCAAAAACCCCCCCAACGTGACAAAGCCGCACTAGGAGTTGCATTAATGCTTTCACATTATTATGTTATCATACGTACAATTTAATATAAATATTAATCAAGTCCTCTTTGCCAAGCATTTATCTTCGCAGTGTCATACCTAGGAAGGGCCCCAGTATAGGCTAACAGTATCGTACTCGCTCCGGGTTTAT